AATTAAATAAATTGGATGAAAACTGAGTTTTCAAATGCATTGAATAGTTAAATTTTATGTTGCTAGCAGGTATTCTCTCATACTCATAGGGGCGGATTATTATAAGTTACCTAAGGCGTCAGATTATAGATAGTGCACACTTTTTCTTAAATATGATTCAGTGGTATCACGACCTAACTATTGCAACAAAACTTCAAAGCTATCTTTTCGATTTTATGTGCCTTAAGTGTCTTTCTAGCTATGTTTTTATATCTAAAATTTTTTCTGTCAAAATTAACGCAAAGATAAGCTGATTTGGCTCATTCTCTTCAGATCTGCGATCTAACGGAGAGCTCAAACAGACTCCCAAAGCGACTTCAGGCGATGCTACTTTATCGGGTCATAAGCAACCATCTGCTCTCACCTTGCCCATCGCCTACAACTCTCCCCGCTCTGTCTCTCCCATTCCTGTTTCTCAATCTTCATTCTCGCCTTCGGTTGCTGTCGCCCCATCCCCAATAGGTTCATTTTCGTCAACTTCTACCTCAACTTCAAACTCTCTTTCCTGTCAGGTTAGCCACATGGCCAGCACAAGCTATCTTCCTGGACCGGATTTGGCACCACGGAAACGACCCGTTATCTTGCTTCAGAGTGTTCCACACATTATCTATCAGCTCCCTGAGCATATAATAGAAGCAGACGCTGCATATTTTAATAAGGCAGTTCAGGTAAGGAGGTTAGAATCCTTTGTTGTTGGGTAGTATTTGTTTCACTGTATGGGCACCTGTGCGTGTATCCTTCCCATATACTTCCCATTTACTATGTAATTTTTTCTGGATTTATCCTAGTTCGCCAGGGGTGATATTCATTAGTATTGTCGAGGTGTCAACAGATGCACCAGATGTTGCATTAAACCTTTACCCAAATTTAAATCGCAATTCATTTTTACCCACGGTTTAATACTATAGATATTTTTGCTGATACTACTAAGCGTAAGCTTAATATAGTTGTCGGAAATAACTTAAATAACGAGCCACTAGTAATACCACCCTCCGCAACTGGGTTTTCACAGCCGTTAATCGTAAGGTAACCCATCTTTTGTTTAGGAAATATCCAAGTTGCCACTTTATCCAAAATTTCCGTCTTTTTTTAGGCATTTGCATTTCAACGATCTGCTTTATCACTTAGATTCAATATTTTAAATAAAACGTCTCGCCTACATCCGTCTTGATTATAGGTTCTAGCCTATTAGTTATCTTACAAACTAATGTTTTTAATAAATAAAGTTTAGGAGCTCTGCAAACGGCACCTGTTGCTGGTGGTGGAGAATATTAGCCTTCACTAAACCCACTTGTAGTGACGCGCTCCTAGCGGACATTTGAGGAAACGAGAGCACAGAATTGTGTGAATAGGTGGCTATGCCATACGAAATGGGGTTGAGAGAAAGCGATGCACTTCTAAAGGGTAAAACACAAAATAGGGGCGATGAGTGATGCCACAACGGCTGAACAGAAAGTTGGTCAAGGTGATTGCCTTCGCTTGTCACTTACAAGTCGTAACTGTGCTAACGATGGCGCCTCTCACTGACGGTGCCGTCGAAATATTTGAGAATGTACCGAATCATTGTTCCGATGCTGGAAATCACGAATACTATGGCAGGACTAGGTACGTCCCACAAGGTCTCTCTGGTACCGCAGCTGGGTTACGAAAACGAGGGGAAACCAACACTATAAAACTAAACAAGCCTGCGGCCACATCATATTGGTCTTCATATCTACGATAATTATTTTATTGTTCGAGTTCCATTAATCTCAAATTTTCTAAAAATGCTTGCTCTTACCATATATTATTTTTCTCTTACATAGGACCGAATTATAGAACGGCATCTGTTCAACTTCAAAAAGCAACGTTTTCTTTGAACATTTTAATCAATCCTTTGTGTAAATAGCTCACTTTCTACATCTTTGTCTGGTAGTCATGTTCTTTTTTCGATTTTCCATTATTTATATCGTTATTATATTATATTCAACTCCGTTATATTTTTTGCAACCGATAGTGTTGAAACATTGCTTCTGGTATACTTGTAACTTCGTTCGAAAAGGCTGTTGGATGGAATTCGTAAATTGGCTTCACGTGAAACCAAAAATAGATTGCCTTGAACCTGTGACTGTTGGGTTATGCGTTTAAGCCCTCGACTAAATGTTCGTCATGTGACGGAAATCTTCAGTGCAAGAAATAATTATTTACGAGCAAGTATCAAAAACTAAGCCAATAAAGGTGACCTGCTGAATTCCAGTTTGCTTCTTATAACTAACTTGATTTTTATTCTAGTCAAATAATGTATTTATGAAATGTTAGAGTGCCTTTTATTTCGTTTGAAGAGGTGAGTGGAAGGGATTCATAAATTGTCCTTATTGAAAGCTGCGTTCCATTGCATGTTTGCTCTATTTATGCAATTTTCTCTAATTGCTTGAGATTCAAGAGTCAGCCAGATTAGAAACCAATCAAGCCTCCTCTTGCTTAGCTGTGCTTCTCGCCCTCTCCTCTTTCTAATCATATCCAACAGGAAAAAGCAGTTTCCACTTAGTATCATACATTCATTCCTATTAGTGCTTTTGGCTGTTTTGTTGATTTGTATAAATTCCCTAATTTTCCACTCTCCATATCCAGCTAGGCGTTTGTCATTATATAAGTCTGGTGTCCTGTGTGAACCGTGTTCGGCCGATTCTGATTTTTGGACATACTAACCCTCGGGCTGTTTATATATATATATATATATATACATGAAAAATAAGTAGTGTAGTCTATTGTTATAACAAAAATACGTTTGCTTAATCGGCAATTTCACCAAAGAATGTGATATGATAAAAGGCCTGACCTTTGAAATTAACATCTTCCCTGTGACCCAATAGCACTCTTGGCAATGTGGCTGAGTGGCTAACTTGTCAAGCTCACTTGCGGCACGGTTCGACTCCCGCTGGAGGTGTCGATAAGACCTAGACTCGGTCGAGACTGCTGTCCGCCCTGGATGAGAACAAATTTTGGGAAAGCAATGCTATGTGAAATTCATTGGAAAGGTTAGCTCTACTCATCATTGTAGGAAAATTCTACTACCAGTCCTTCATCAGCTTAAACGAAATAGAGTGAATACATCTTATATAACGTTTAACCAACCAAGGTAGGCGTGTCTGGGGCTGCGTAATCTCGTATGTCTGATTTGGCTGATGAGTTAAATCTAACATGCTGGGTGAGTGTCAGTGAACTTACAACCATCACTGAGTCGCCTTCTCTTGAATGACAGCTCAACCGCCTCTTTCAATCTATCAATAAATCATAAGTATATACTCGACTTTTTACCACCGTTCCTCAAATCCAACGCATCTGCTAATCTATTAATTTCAATAGCCTCTCTTATCTTCCTTCTAACAGCACACGTTCCATAATCAGCAAACCTAGTTTAAGACCATTCTATCTCATTCTCTGTCTCTGCTATGTGTTCGGCCATTTCTGACGGTTGGACCTAGCTTCCTTTACACACATTTTTGTATTCCCTTAGTCTTTGTCCAATGAACCTGTTTTTTGGTTCAGTGATGGTTCTAACTTCACTCACTCGTCCAACATGTTAAGTTACGAATGACGCTAATGACTCCAGACTGAGAGGTTAGGACAGGTGGTTTTCTAACTTGACTTACAAGCTTACATGTCATAATTGCTTACGGACGTACACAGCCTCTGTTAGGGCTTTTTTCTTGGATCATTGAGTCTTGATTACCAGAGCCTGACTCTGATTTTCGACCTGTATTGCGTATAGACGTTAACACACACGAGCTAAAGTAGCAGGAGCAGTACGGAAGGTAATCAGCCAAACCATCTTGTATCTATCTATGCCTGTTCATTTTTCGTTTTGGTTATCAATTCATATAAGAGGTAGGATAGAGCCGGATACTATTCTTTATCTGATGTTAAACTGAGACTTTTGCAAGAATGAGTTCCTGCTCTAATGATGTCCATCATATGATGGACGAAAGCTCAGCCCATTTGCACCAGAAGTGTCAATTTGAACGTCGTAAAGCCAAATGCTATAGTACAGCAGGACTCAGTCGTCGTCTTCTGGTGAAATCAACCTACGAATCTCTTCTTCAGTGACTTTCATTCGAAATGGAGGTCTTCTCAATGATGTTATCTGAGGAGATTAATCGAAACCCAGTTACTCTTCGTATCTACAATATGTGGGTTTATCAAATGCAATTAATAAAGCTATAAGTGTATGTAGAATGGCTCCGATTCCACAAGCGACATTTACTGTTAATCTACTTCAATTTATTGAAAAGGGCTTCTCTAGGAACCAGCTTATCGTAACTGTCTCATTTAAAAGTGAGTCGACAATTAGTATACTAATAGCTAGGCCTTTCAGCAAGCCAAAACTCTGCCATGAGCATTCTCATGCGCACCGAAGCCATTAATTGACTATATTTACTGTGCTACTTTTCTTTTTAAGTAGTGAAATTTATTAAGTATATTTACGATAATCTTCCCTAGCACTTATTTACGAAAAATGTTCACTTCCATCAGTTATGTTTAAATGCACTTCTTGCTGAAGAGTTATTATTTTCCGTGTAGGTAATTGTTTAGACTATCAGTAATTCTTGAATTTGTATCTACTTACTCTAGTTCTCTTAACGTGAATTAAATGATGATATTTTTGCTTCCCTTCTGGTCGCACTAATCGCCCTGCATGCTCAGTAACGTCGTCACTGTACAACTCTATAGAATAAATTTGTAGGTGCTGATGAAACACTGGCGAGATTGAAATTGCAGCTCTCCTAGAACGAGATGGCTTCTTCTAAATGAAGACTAAATGACATTTCTTGGCATTATGAAGCATACTCTGGTCATTACGGGGAAGCCCAATTATCAGTCTTATTAACTATAAGTGACTAAGTTTTTTCGACTACGCCTCAACGCACATAGGGCAATATGAGTTGAGTTCAAAGCATTATGCTAGCGATCTATTCATGGGGCTTTATCGATGTATCACCAATGTCGAAGCCCATTCGTCGCGACTGTGCCTGTCCATTGTGGCCCATCTGTATCCGATAGGATGTCATTTGAAGTGGACCCTCTGAGTACATGTCCAGCCCTTCCAGATAACCTTTTGGAACTAAGACCTTACTAAGAAGATATAAAAAAGTATAACTGGGGATCACATTTATGCAAACGTTTATACAAAGTTGTAAGAAGTTGCTAGTGGCTTTCACAGCCAACAGTAGACCAAAACTGTTGTCCAGCCTTTCTGGAACCAAGTAGACGAGGGTTTTTCTAAGTATAGAAGTTTAGCCGATTTCTCATGTGACGGATACTAAGTTCGTCCACTGTAAATTGAAGAGAATACCGGAAATTTGCATGACACTACCCTCGCATCAAAAATTGTTGTTTCAATCCATTGCCTGTTGCAGGTCCAACTCCGTCTATATGTCTCACAAACAGTCCTATCGCAATATTAATTGGGTAAGAAGGAAAACAAGGTATACCTTTAGCCACAAGTCAAGCCCCATAGTTTTACACAAACGGTAATGCAAGCCTATCAGCTTTCACACAATTTTAAAGGTCGTCATCACATTCAATACGTCCCAGATGAGGCCCAGGCCAATCTAATAATACATTCAAGCCTAGATTAGAAAGGCTTTTTGGGATTCAATCAAGACTAAAACAATATATTCGACTTGTTGCTGGTTGAACATTAAATTTGGAAATCAGTCCATCGGAAGCAGCGAGTTTATCAATTTAGGTAGAGCGGAAACCTAGTCATTGTAAGGCCGGATGAAGACTTTTATTAGGGAATTAAGCCTCGATTACGTAGCTTGGTCGGAGT